AAAAAAAAAAAAAAAAAAAGTTGTAATAAAGCATCAACATTTAAGGGAATAAGCTTAAACTATTAAGTAACTATTATTTAAATTAGAGCCTATCATACTTAAAACACATTTTATTTCTAGTTTTTTTTCTTAAACTTAAAATATAAGCAGGACTGAAAGTGGAATTTAACATATTGGTATTAATGGCATTTAAACACATGAACTCACATGACACATACAGACATACACATTCCCACAAAAACTCATCCATTCAACATGTAATCTCAAGGGCCTTCTCAAGACTGAGCAAAAGGCATAGAAAAGGGGCCAAGCCTGAGAAGAAACCAGTCATGTTATACTACTCTTTACCTTCCCAAGCAGCCACCTTAACACACAAAATGAGCCTAAAGAGATCATGTATGAAGAGCAATGAGAGTACTCTGAGAAAAGCAAACTACAAGGATGACAGAATATAATCAAAGTTTTCACAGAGTCACAAAACAAAGTGCTAATCAGAAGACCCAAAATAAGAATCTGAAAACATATAATATAGTCAAGTCCTTATTAATTGTTAGTATCTATAGAAACCACTGATATGGTCTGCATGTGTCTTCACCCAAATCTCATGTTCTACTGTAATCCTCCATGCTGGAGGAAGGGCCTGGTAGGAGGTGCCTGGGTCAGGGGGGTGGATCCTTCATGAATGGTTTACAACCATCCCTTTGGTGCTGTTCTTGTGATACAGAGTTTTCTTGATATCTGGTTACCTAAAAGTGTGTGGCACCTCCCCCACCCTTCCTTACACTCCAGTCATGTAAGACACACCTGCTGTCCCTTCGCCTTCTACCATAACTGTAAGTTTCCTGGGGTCTCCAAGAAGCAGAAGCCACTATGCTTCCTGTACAGCCTGCAGAACCATAAGCCAATTAAGCCTCTTTTCTTTATAAATTACCCAGTCTCAGGTATTTCTTTATAGCAATGCAAGAATGGACTAACATAACCACTTAATATTACATACACTCCAGCAGGTTTAAGAAACACAGAGATAATTTTGTAAGTGTTTATAGAGAAAAAGACTCAAAATAAGGTGCTGGCAGCAGTGATGCTAAAATACAATAGCCCTCTGCTTTGGATTTTAAAGCCAAAAGCAAGCTGGCCTCACCTGACTACTCCCCAGCATTCCTACCACCTGTGGGTACCTTCATGCATGTGCCTCTGCTGTCACCCTTACTGGAGTTCCCTCTTTTCTTTTTTGCTTTTAAGATGGAGTCTTGCTGTATCACCCAGCCTGGAGTACAGTGGTGCGATCTCAGCTCACTGCAACCTCCACCTCCTGGGCTCAAGTGATCCTACTGCCTCAGCCTCCCAAGTAGCTGGGATTACATGCACACACCACCACACCCAGCTAATTTTTTGTATTTTTAGTCAACACAGGGTTTCTCCATGTTGGCCATGCTGGGTATGAACTCCTGACCTCAAGTGATCCACCTACCTGGGCCTCCCAAAGTGCTGGGATTACAGGCGTGAACCACCGCACCCAGGCTGCAGCTTCCTCTTTTCTTCTCTGCATTTATCCATACCTGGTTCCTCCTTTAAGGTCCAGCTTAAGTCTCATTTACTATAGGAAATCTTCCCTGGCCCAAGTAATTTACCAGAAGGTCCAAGTAATTTACCTCTTCTGTGATCTCCAACACCATTTAAATCATACTACACAGCTTGGCTCTTAATTATAATCTTAGAGTTGTTTTATGTACATTAGATTTTGTCCTTTGCCACAGACCAATCAGGAACAAACACGTAGCGCAGTAAAGACAGATTTATTGACCCACCACAAGGAGGGACAATGCACATCAGAGAAACTGTGGAGCATCTCGATAAAGTAAAGGAATTATTAAAGGACTGAGGGAAAGGTGAAGCTTAGGTAAAATTTAAATGAAGAGACTCAAACCAAAGCAAGGTGATATTTAAAGACATCAATATCAAGTCTGGACTATAAAGTAGACCCAGGGTCCTGTTTCCTTGAAAACAACAGAAGCAACATAGCTATGGACTCCTGTGTTCAGAAACCTCATATCTGAAGCTCTGCACTTGAGTTGGTAAACTAAAGCTGCTTCTCTGTGTCAGTGACTTAGGTTGTCCAAGTAAATGTGGGATGTTTTATCTTACTAACACAATTTCAAACAGCAGACTTTCTGATGGTCTGTGATTTTTAGAAACCAAAGTTTCTCAGTGAGTAAACAAACAAACAAACAAGTCATCCAAAGAAGGGGGCTATGACATTTTATAACTATTGACTAACCTTAAGAGAAATTCCTGTTAATTTTAAAGCTGGTTTTACCCGATTTGTTACTCCAGCTGATGAACAGCAGGGCAGATGTTTAAAGTCCAAGCTAATTTTTACTTTTTCATTCAACGAGTCAAACAGCAGCCCTCTCAAAAGCCAAAAACATTTTTATATTTGTTTGTATCCTAAAACTGAGCAGTGCTAAGAGTGTAAGCAGATGCTATAGAAATGCTGTTTGATGTCTGACTGATGGATAATGACATTTTAAATAACCAAAGTTCCAGGTAATTATAATTTTAAAGCTATATAGCGTTATAAACTCATTTAAGTAGTCTATGAGGAAAAAAACAAAAAAAAAAAAAGAGATTTTAAGAAGGGGACAGATTTCTTACCCACAACACCAAAAGCTGAAACTGCTCGAAATAAGCCTGAGGATCCTTTCTGTCCCATCTTTGTTCTATTTCCAAGGTCCAAGCGGCCAAGAAGTTCCCTTACTTCTTGTTGAGTATAGACATGCTAAAAATAAGCACATTTACTCTGTAAGGTTATGCTTAGACTTTAGATTATGGATTATTTGTGCCTGAAAGTTAAAAGTTACCTACAAGCATCATCAGCTATTTCATAGAGAAAAATATAGTACACAAGTAAGCTACAATTTTAAAACGCTAACAACTTCTTTAACAGTAATTAAGGTTGGTTATTAGATCATGCTACCATATTAAAAAAAAGTGTCCAAACCTTATGTTCTAAACCAGAGATTTAAGGGATCTACCTGTATAGGTAAATTCCAAGTCATATGCAAAATTTTGAGTGAATGTGTGTTTTTATGAGAAGGCTCATAGATTTTCCCAGCATTTCAAAGGGTTCCCTGACCAATTGCTCCCATCTCCAAATAAAGCCAAAAATCATTACATTGTATTGTTAAAAACACTCAGACAGGTGGGGGGAAGAATGGACCCCAGGAGTGGCATGGGAAATCATAATAAATAATTTATCTAAAACTATTACAACACAGAAAATAGTTTTGTTACCAGCAGCTTAGTGAAAATGGATTCCAATCTGTAGTTACTAACATATTTGAAAAACCAGGAATCTTTATGGATTCAGAAATGTTCACAGACAGAAATTTCAATATAAAAGGTAACAAGTCCTCTTGTGTGAAGAAGTTAAACTTCACTGTTCAAACTAACATACAGTATTTCACTTTTGGCTAACAGCTTCAGATTTTTGTGCCACCTGAATTCCAGCCTCTGTATTTTTGACTTTGGATAATCTAACTTCTGGATAAGAACAGAACTTAACATTTCCTTAGTGTATAGCAAGTCATCAGAAAACGTCCTAGAGGTGATTTTTAGGAGCAAAATAAAGTCTGTAGCATAGAAGTCTTCCCTGACTTCAAGTAGCTTGATATTAAAGAACCATAATAGACCATGTCTTTGGTAGATGCAATATTAAGTTACATTGAATTCTTAAAATGTTAGCTCTTTAAAAAACAATATTCATTATCTTATCCTAAGAGTGTGTTTTTGAAAACAAATCAAAATGACGGGCAAAGTATAATTCTGGCATACTTCTTGACATCAATGATTTCTAGAAACCAGATTAGAGATTCTTGCCAACCAAGAAAAATAACAGAAATTTTTAGACTTACAATAAAAATAATATATCACTAAAAACTATAAGGATATTTCATATCCTTTAAATAACAGGTATGAAAGTTTTCTGCAGTCAGGTTTGGAAGATACTTACCCTGTCATCAATTATGACCAAATCTTTTGGTTCTGTTCTATCAATCTTCAAGACACGATATTTTGTTTCTGCATTATTGCTCCCAACTAGAAAGTATCTCTATAAATAAAAAGGAATGTCATTAGTTTCTCAAGGCATTTTGCCCTTTACGCATTTTATAACCACTTCAGTTTTTGAAATTAAATTCATTAATAAAGTCAGGTTACTTTTTAAAGAAATATTTCTGTTATGTATAACTGGCAGATTAAAGAAAGGATGATTCCAAAAGGTCAATTTTAAAATTAAAATATTCCTAGTGGTTTCATGATAAAGATCAGTCTGATGTCTGAAATGTGCCCAGTAACCAGGTCAGATGAATTTAATTGTCATAAAATTAGAGATTAATCTAACTGATTGGAGGTTGATGTTTAAGCTTTACCAGGAAGAAGCTCTGGTAAAAATTAGAAAGCTCAACATATAATTAGGAATGCTTAGACAATTATGGCTATTAAAGTATTGAAAGCTTATCAAAAAATTACTTACAAATTTTCATAGACATCTGAAAATATCTCTAATACAGCAACTATAAATCTACCGTAAATGATTAAAATAGTTGTCCTGCCCGAATGACCTTTTATGGATAAGATACAAGAAATTATTATTCTTTCTTTCCTAAAACAGTTCCTTGGAGCATTACGACTAAATACAATCATGTTAGTCTTATTAAATAAATACTGGAGGGGTGCTGGGCAAGATGGCTGACTAGAGGCAACCAGGTGGAACACCTGCCACTGAGGGACCGGGACAACTGGAGCACTCCTAACAGATTTCCAGAGGGAAGGTACTGAGAGTGGTGGAGGGAAGACACAGAAGCTGGGCTGAAGAGGGAGGAAGCTGGGAACCCTGCATGGGGCTACCATGCACTGGCATTCGTTCCTGGCTCCCAATGGCTCCAGGGGAATGGGCGAGTTGAACTGGTAAGGAGAAACTTACTCTTGCCAAGGCCTCTGGAATCCTGGCAGGAGGAGACTCCTTGACCACCACAGACACTCGAGTTGGCAGGAAGAACTGCTTAGAGAAGCGGCAGGGAAAACACACTAGCTGATGCAGAGCCCAAAGGGTTTGGTATGGGAGCGTTTGTAGTGGAGCACAGCCAGGAACACTTATCCCCCCAGGGCTGACTTGTTTCCATACGAGACTTTAGCCCTATAGGGAAACTGTCGGACCTGAACTCCACAGGGCGCTCTTGCCCGTCAGACTGGACAGTTGATCTCAACACCCCTTGGTCTGCTGACTTCTCTCTCAGGGCCCCAGCCCTGCTTGCAGGGCAGCCTCAGGTGCCCTGGGGGCCTGCATCATAGCCCCTGTAATGGTGGACTGGCGCCTGACTGGCAAAGAGCTCTAGTGGGGTGGCCCCTATGGCCACACAGCAGCCACCCCCTCCCTCCCTCCACTGCAGCTTCCCCCAGGCGCAGCTTCTCCCAGGCCCACCTCCCCAACATCACTTTGCCAACATGTGTGTGTGCAGGTGGGTTTTGTCTTCCTTGCCCTACCAGTGCATGTGTGCGCACGTACCCTGCACTGCCACTGCTGCAGTGCGGGTGCGATCCATTTCCCTCCCTCAGCTGCACCATCATTGTAGCTGCAATCCTAGTGGGCACAAAGCTAGCCTGCCCCGTCCCCACTCCACCCCTGTAACAACACTGCCATGGGAGTGAAACTAGGCACAGAGACCAGTGAACCCTCCCCAGCCCTAAATAACCACCACTGCCTGCAGCACACAGAGAGTATACATAGGCCTGCACCTACCAGCACCCCGGCCTGTGCTAACAGGACCACCATGATGACTGCATGCACAGTCACCAGCAGGGCCTCCCCTGCCCCCTGAGCCATACTGCCTCTGCTGCTGCTGTGAATGCCCACAAGGAGGTAGGCACCTGCTGGCACCCTGCCACAGCCTTATTAAGCATGCACTCTACCATGCTGTCACTGTCACTGGCATGTGTGAATGAGAACAGATCCCATAGCCATTGCACTATGAAATGCTTTGGCTGACACCAACCATCAAAGCGTAGTGACCAGCAGTTTAGGAGCATATTGGCACCCCTTAGCACATTGGATACCTAACCTCGAGGAGCCAGGGAACAAAGTCAGAACCCAGTACAAGTATTCCAGAGTTAGAGCATGCAGTCCAGGAGTTGGGAGCTGAATAATGGCCTTCTAGAAACAAAACCTGTCGACTGAATCCACCTTATCCCACAGTTGAACTCTCAAGGTCATCAAATAGGATAAAAGAAAAAAGCCATACAAAGGTCAACACCTTCAAAGATTGAAGAAACATTAGCCCACAAAGATGAGAAAGAACCAGCGCAAGAATGGTTACAACTCAAAAAGCCAGAAGTGCCTTTTTTCTTCCAAACGACTGTACTATTTCTCCAGCAAGGGTTCTGAACCCAGCTGAGATGGCTGACATGACAAAAATACAGTTCAGAATGTGGATAAAAATGAACTTCACTGAGCTAATGAAACATATTGTAACCAATGCAAGGAAGGTAAAAAATAAAAAAAAAAAAAAAAAAACATGATAAAACATTGCAGGAGCTGACAGGCAAAATAGCCAGTATAGGGATGACTATAACTGACCTGAGAGAGCTGAAAAACACACTACAAGGATTTCATAATGCAATCACAAGTACTAATAGAAGAACAGACCAAGCAGAGGACAGAACCTCCGAGCTTGAAGATTGGCTTTCTGAAAAAAAAAAAAAAAAAAAAAAAAAGAGAAAAAAAAAAAAAAAAAAAAAAAGAATGAAAAGGAATGAACAAACCCTCCGAGTAATATGGGATTACATAAAGAGGCTGACTGTACAGCTCAGTGGGTATACCAGAAAGAGAATGGAACCAACTTGGAAAACATATTTCAGGATATCATCCATGAGAAATTCCCCAATCTATCTTTAAAAGCCAACATTCAAAGTAAAGAAATGCAGAGAACTCCAGTCAGATACTTCACTAGAAGATCATTCCCAAGACAGATAATCATCAGATTTTCTAGGGTCAAATGAAAGAAACAATATTAAAGGCAGCTAGAGAGAAAGGTCAGGTCACCTACAAAGGGAAGCCCATCAGACTAACAGTGGACCTCTCAGCTGAAACCCTACAAGCCAGAAGAGATTGGGTGCCAATATTCAACATTATTTTTTTTTCTTTTTTTTTTTCCCCATTTATTTATTTTATTGCATTTTAGGTTTTGGGGTACATGTGAAGAACACGCAAAATTGTTGCACAGTAACACACGTGGCAGTGTGATTTGCTGCCTTCCTCCCCATCACCTACATCT